GAATCTCGCTATTTCGTTAGTTATTACTGCTATTATAATTTAAAATTCTGCATTTTTCTGTGCCTGCAAGCAAAATCTGCATGTGTACCATGGATGCTTTATGTTTATGACATATGTATGTGTGATATTTATTATCTGTATATGGCGTATGCATGTGTGGATGCTTTAATCGCTCTTTATTTTAGGAAATTGAGTCTAAATGTCCATACATTGTATGGAGTCCGAAATCAGAATTCAGATGTGCTCATTAACAGAAGAACTAACAGACTTCCATTAAACATCCTCAGTATATTGAAAAGCACAATCATTCCCCAGCATGAGCATCCTCCAGCATGTGTAGCTGTACAGAGGTCAGTCTGAGGCAAACCTCACTCCCAAGGTAGCAATCAGTGAGAAACAGAAAAGCAGAAATAAGAAGGTGTGATATATGTGTGAACTTAGTGGTTAATAATAAATGATTGTGCGAAAGTGATAAAAGCTGGTAATGTGTGAGCCAAGGGCCACTGTCCCCAATAAAATTTGCCGCTGAAATATTGGGGGATTCTGATGTATAGACTGCATATACAGTGCTTAACTGCAATGTGGAAAAACTTTAGCAAATGTGTGGAGATCCTGATTCAGTTCAATTACCTCAGTAACTCATGCAAAATAATGCTTACAGTTTTTCCACCAAAAAGCCTTCATAAATAAATGAGACGGGCATACATGAGTGGCACTGTGGCTCAGTGGGGGGCGCTGTTGCTTCACACGTCCAGGGCTGGGGACTTTTACCCTGGGGTGTGGAATTTGCACATTCTCCTTGGGGGTTTCCCCATTTATTTACCTTTGCTTCATAGCTTCTCAAAATTCAACCCATAACTAAGGCCTACTTACTCAGTTCCTCTCCTCTTCACTCTATCTCCATCATGTTCCAGGTTGTTGGAAAAGCGGCAGGAAAATGGTGAAACGATCGAACTGTCAGCTGATGGCCGACCTGAGCTGATAGAGGAGAAAGAGCTTCCTGTGGTAGACTGCACGTGCTTCGGCCTTCCGCGACGGTACATCATCGCCATTCTCTCTGGCCTGGGCTTCTGCATCTCCTTTGGGATCCGATGCAACCTGGGTGTGGCTATTGTCAGCATGGTCAACAACCACACCGTCTACAAGGGCGACAAGAAGATGCTGGTGGTGAGTTCAGTGGGGAAAATAACTCGTAACCGCTAATAGCTATTAGAACGTACATTGTTAGCGTAAAATAAGAAATTGATGACACAATGCTGTAGCATTTGAACTTTTCTGCCATCATTTTTATGGGGTCACCAGCTGCCAAAGAATATTTCTGTTAGTAGTCTTTCCCAGGATATCGTATTGCTTATACTTAGTTTTCATGCATTCGTCTGTCAACAACATCATACCACAAGTAGTATAAACACACTTTGCATTCATTTAATTAATTTGGCAGATACTTGTACATCTGTTTTATGCAAAGTAATGTACAAGCAAGGAAGAGCTAGTTCAGTCCCTGTAACAGTCAGGGTTAATGCCCTTGCTCAAGGGCCCAAATCGCTTTACCATCCATGGCATTTGAACCAATGATTTTCCAAACACAGATTCCAATCCTTCAAGCCACACCAGCAGTTTGTGTGGACCCCCCCACATTCAAAATGCTTCTGACACCCCTGCACACAAGGGATACATGCAATGCCAGTGTTGGGGAGTAACTAGTTACATTAAATTGTGTTAGTTAATGAAATAACAAAATTAATGTGATTGTAATCCATTAATTACTGAGAAAAATATGTAACTAAAGTACAGATACTAATCAAATTACTAAACAAAATGTTGGTGATTACTAAGGTATATATTCTTTTTGGTAAAAAGCTTATATATAGTATGTAACATTCATTTTGGTGCTTTACATCCTTTTGCCATAGAGAAATGCCTTCTTTTGGCATATTTCCAGATAATGCAGGTCAGCAAATACTTGGGACTTGTCAGCTCTATTGCCTAGTTTAAAACATTTGTTAGAAAAGTAATAAAAAAGTATTCAAAGGTAATAAGTTATGTTACTTTGATAACATAATCAAAAATAGTTACATTACTTGTTACGTTTTTAACAAGGTAACTGGTAATGTATAACCTATTACATTTCAAAAGTAACCTTCTGAACACTGCAATGCGTATGATGGGGATGTTTTACAGACATGCAAAGGCAGTAACAGTGCCTTCTTTTACAGGCAGCCCAGTTTTCCTGGGACCCAGAGACCGTAGGTATGATACACGGCTCGTTTTTCTGGGGCTACATCGTCACTCAGATACCCGGAGGCTTTATATGTCAGAAATTTGCTGCCAACAGGTAATTTGCTGTTTAATAATTAGATTCTCGTGCTTTAAGTTGTAATGGTTTTGTAATTATATGACTATCACAGTGTAATGATAATAATGTGTAATGTTTCTCTCTGTCTTTCAGAGTGTTTGGCTTTGCTATAGTAGCTACCTCTACACTAAACATGTTCATCCCTTCAGCTGCAAGAATGCACTTTGGCTGTGTAATAATAATTAGGGTATTACAGGGTCTTGTGGAGGTATGATACTTCACTATTCTTTTGGGATTATCTCTTTGGTTTGTTGCCCTGTTTGTCCTGCCTCTATAGGATGTATTTTTCTTCATGTATGCATTTAAAATATCTGCAGTGTCAACTGAATTATGTTACGGAAATTAACGTAAGAGCTTTCACCGGTCTTCCTTTCACCGGCGTAGGGAGTGTCATATCCAGCTTGCCACGGGATCTGGGCGAAATGGGCACCGCCCCTAGAAAGGAGCCGATTGGCCACGACAGCCTTCTGCGGTGTGTCATCACGTCTCTCAGCAATATCTCCTTAAACATGAAGTTTTACGCTGTTTCCATCATCATACTGTTATGTCTTTATACTGTTATTGTATAAAGTTCTAGTTGCTGTTAGCAGAAGTCTTGGTACTTATAAAGCTATTGACACGATACTTAATTGACACAATAACAGCTACTGTATTAGTAATGCTATTACCCCTTAAGTCTGTGCCTTTCTCTTTGTCAGGTTCTTACGCCGGCGCAGTAATAGCGATGCCATTAGCAGGTATTCTCGTCCAGTACTCTGGATGGTCTTCCGTCTTCTATGTATATGGTAAGTGAACTTTCTCAGCCAATATGGGAAATTAATGCTAATTACAGAAGTGTCTGTTGTAGATGGCAGAAAATAGGAATATCAGATATGGCCAGATTACTCCCCCTCCATTTATGACATTGGCATATTTTAATCATTTAACATTTTAGCACA